AATGTCGTCATAAAAATGCTTCATTACTTGTTACAATTATAATATGGCTACGTCGTACCTTTTAGTTTTAGTTTTAGTAGAGGTTTTACGACGCTTGCAACTGCATAAGGTCATATGAGCGCCAGAAGATTAGAGATGTTACAAGAGAGTAATAAACATGAAAAAGAAGAAGGGGAGATAAGGACGATAGATGTTTGATAGGAAAGAAGAATAGCAAACCACACCAGAGCACCCACCAAACCCCCGCTGTCGTACCTTTGAATACAACGAAACACAACGCAAGCTAAAAAAAAAAAAAGATGTAGAATAAGAGAATGTGATCCGCATTCAAACCTTGACGAATTAAAAACCGATGCAAATTATTATTTTTGTTGTTTCTAGCGTGGTTACAAGTCACTTCTTTCATTATTTGGAGAGTGCCACTGGTAGGTCCAACTTCTTTACTTTCCCACTGTTCTTTCTGTCTTAATTTTTCCGAGCTTTAATTATAACCATGGCTTGTGTCAATGTGCTTCTCTTTACTAAAATAAGCAAACATCACTTTTGGTATGTATTGCAGCCCAAAATAACCTAGGTATTAACCATGACAATGACAATGGCAATCTTTATTCATCTCGCCGGGAGAAATGTGTCTTGGTCGTTAACAATGGCAGTAGACGTTACAAAGGTTAGGTGCACTCACGCATTCGCACAACAAGACAGGACATTAGTTAAAGGAATGTCTCACGTCCTGGGACAATCCGCTCCGTAAAACATTCTCTCTCTCTCTCTCTCTCTCTCTCTCTCTCTCTCTCTCTCTCTCTCTCTCTCTCTCTCTCTCTCTCTTTCTCTGTTCTGTGAACAACTCTTGGTATTGTTGCGTTGAAAGCTACAGGGGAGAAAAATTTTTTACAATTTAAAGCCTGGAAAAACGATGTTAGTCATAGTACAAAAAACCTGAGGACTTCTGTCTCTATTGCCCGCGTTTCTGTGGACTACTTCCCTTTTTTCCAAGTACAACAGCTGTAAATAGGTCACTAGTGTGTGACTTCAGCTGCTTCTTATAAAAGTAGCATTGATAGACAAAATGGAGCAATGTAAGAAATAGTTCAAAACTGTCTCTCTGCCACGAGGCGAAATTCTCATGCACCGTTCAAGAATTTGAGTTCACCTAGGACCTTGTATAACCTCCTTGGAGTTCACCCAAACAGGCGTCAAGGGAAAGACATAAAGGAATCAGAAAATGAAAGAAGGCTACTATATACTGCCCTTGACTTACTGAGGGTATCAGCGACGTGATACAAGCTCCGAGTTTGGTTCTATGGCGACACAATATCAATATAATGCGTTTGAAACTGATGCTTTATTTCCCGTCAGGGACCCGGCGTTGTGTCCTTGGGAAAGGCACTTTACACGAATTTTCCTCACTTCACCCAGGTGGGAATGGGTACCCGGCTATAGACAGCGAAA